CTATCACAATGCCCCTTCAGATTACAGTGTTGCTCTTTATTACAGTGTTGCTCTTTCTGTCCTCTGTTAAAATAGTTTCCAGATAGTTAAATTTTTCAACTTTCTTGATTTTGGTAACTCCAATTTGTAACTTGCATGTTGGACTGTTCCATTTGCTAACGACCAACATTACAAGAATAAATTAATTAGAGTAAAAAAATGAACTAATAAAAATTATTCCCTAGCATGGATTATAGAATGAGAAAAACTGGATAAAGGGTCTCAAGAGATTCTGTAGAATTGTAGAAAATACAGTTACTAAAATACTATGACTATACCAGCTACTGACATTGGACTGATTAGATTGATGTATTATTTATTTTATTTTTTATGAGAATGTTTTTCATATATAGAAACATGGTAAATGGCACATAATGATGTCACGAGAAATCCAGCCTTTTGTACAGAAATATACAGACTGCAATGCTATTTTGTTTTTTGGTAACATTATCTAATTATGTAGCTAATTCCATAGTCTCTGATTTCTTTTGCTACTAGTGTACATATCTAACTTATATACTGTTTATATATTACTAGATGTACCTGTGAAAAATCTTAATGGTTGAATAAACTCATGACAAATTCTATGACAATAAAACATGCTTGGAAATTCCCCTCTCGCATCATTAAATATTTAACAACTTTAACAAAATATTGCAATCATAAATATGAATACTGGTTATTAAGGAAGTATAAATGAAAAGATTTGAAACTGATAACTCTTCCATTTCACTGAAACATGTTAAACATTTCTGTATTCAGTTACTTTCTTTCATTTTCTCACTGAAACCAAGTAGCGTCTCTGATATCTTTTTTCTGTCTTTCTGCATGATTTAATGGAATAGTTCATTATTTATGAGGTATTGGCAGGGCATAATGGTCATGCTAACTAAGGGAGAGACAAGCAAAATTATAAGAAGATAGACCCAAACTGGCTTACTCAGTGTAGCTAGATAAAATTCTCCTGAAGATGCAAGAAGATGCGAGAATCAAGATTTTTGGACAAAATCTAAATGCAAAATTCTTCAGCACACTTTTCTCTCATCTCTTCTGCAATAATAGCTGGTTACTCATTTCCTGCAGTGGCTAGTTAATCCCTGTTGTAGATTCTTGCTTGGGCACATTTGTGTTTCAGAAACACCCAGAGAGCTACCTTTGGTTTATACTGCAACTATGCTGAGTGGACTATAGTTACAGTTTCTGAAAGAAAGTGTACACTCTGGTGTGATAATTATTTGCATGTGGACTAATATCCTCATGTGTAAAAGTTGCAGATTTCTTGCATCCCCATTTGATTGGGTATTAATGCTGTGAATTGAAATTCAGTGCTACCTAATTTCAGGCACTCCTAGACTGAAAGCATGTGAAACTTGCTGACACATTTGTGTATTTCTGGCCTTAAAGTGTTAACTTGAGCAGACAGGTACTTAGCTTAGTAGCATCTAGATCATAAACTTGTTGTGTTGGGAACTAGACAAAAAAAAATCTGTCTATGTTTCTGAGATGAGCTATTGTAACTATTTATGCTATTTACATTGATCAACAGGTCTGTTGTCCCCTTCTTTATTGCCATATTCACAATGTTTTGGCTATTGTACACACTAGCCTTCTTCCCTAAGGACACATGGTCCAATGGATAAAAGCATTGGTTGAGTGATCCAAAAAGGGACTTGATCCAAAGAGTTCAATACTTGGTCACGGCAGAAAGGGGGGTGCTTGGAAAGTTGAATTGCTAAAGGGAATTAAATGAAACTGAGATATCTAAAGGGGGGGCATGGCATGTGGAATTATAACAGCCTACCTCTGTTCACTAAAAGGGTTCAGTTCAAAATTACAATGTATTATCTCACCTGTAGAAAGCTGGAGCATGTAACGACAGAAACGTGAATCTGGCAATAAAGATGAGGACAACAGTTCGTATGATGTAAATTGTGTGAAAAAGAATAATTGAAAATAAATTTTTTTTTATTTAATTTTTTTCTATTGGTATTATTAATTAATCACGTGTATGCCAATAATTATAGAAGGCTTTATTTTTGTCAAATTCTTGTTTTTGAAATTGCATAAAAGCTGCTTGCATATAGCTGGGTTATTTGAAAATCTCCCAATGACAAAAGGTCCTCACTGTTTACTATTTGTATCTGATCCAGCAGCTTAAATAATATTCGAATGTGTTACATACCCCACCTGGCATGTTGTTTTCTGTACCTGATTCTATTACTTCCTGGTTTGTAAGTAATACTCTCTGTTTTATTTTTGTTTTACCTGATTTTTGAGAGTCTGTGAAATAGACTTTTGCATTTAGATGTAACATAAGGCTGCAGTTTATGCTATTTGTTTTTACTCTCTGCCAACTATCTTGCATTTATGGGTGAGAAATTAGTAGTGCATGGTTGTGAGATAGGCTTGAATTTTGCCTCCCACGATTGCTGGGCATCTTGGTTCACCTGCAAAGAAACAAGTCCCAGATCATTCCATTTCTACAGCTGTTTGTATGAACATATTCCTTCCTTTCTACCTGGGCCTTCTTCTTTTTATCCTCCTCCTCCTCCTCTTTCATTCTTCTTCACATCTTCTTTTCCCTCTGTTCTCTTATTTTTTTTTCTTCTTCTTTAGCACTATTTTTTTTTCTATACTTGTCTCTCTTCTCCAAGAAAACTGACATTAACAATTCCACTTGTTGCAAGGTTTTGAAATAAGACCAAAATGTATTTTCTGACTTTGTAGCTATAATACTTTCATATTTCTTACCTGTACCAAAGATAAAATCCAAAATTTCAAATGCTAGGCCCTCCTCACATTGAAAATCAGTAAAGCACAATCTTCTTTCTTGGTTATGCAAATATAAAACTCAGAATTTAGCCTTCATTTAGATAACTGAAAATTTTCAAATTAAGCAAAATTGTGTGTAAGTGAATATAATAAACAAATTTTCCAAAATTAAATAAAATTGGAAAATAAAAATAAAAATTAAGAAAAAAATTTTCAGTTATCTGTTCTGAATAAGACTTGTGTTTTTATGTCCATCGTATTTGTCATATTGAACTGAATTGTATTTTGATGAATATTGTCTTGAAAAAGGTTTATTAAACCGAAACGTCAGACGTCGACATTTCTTTCATTTTAACTACATTTAAGGATTTTTGTTTGTTTTTTCAAAATTTCTTCATTCTGTCGGATTTATATCCATTTACACTGCTTATATATATATATATATATATATATATATATATATTTTGAGACACTGTCAAATGTCAGTACATAGCATTTGTATTATAAATTAACTAGTGCTTAGTTTTATTTTCAGACCCATGTAGACATGTAGTAACAGATAACATGACCATTTCTGTGACTTTTTGATTAGGAAAATTAATGACGTGGAAAAATGTTTCATGTGACATGTTTTGGCCTTTAGGGCTTCATTGGATTAAATTGATATTTACATTGATGCAAGTATACATGTGCACAAAGGGGAAGTGGCACTGAAATTTTACATATTTTAAATTTAAATATTTTTAAAAATGTGTTTGGGTATATAATCTAGTTAATTTCATTTAGTTTCTTTTTGTTTTTATCATATTTGTTTTTAAATATCCCACATTGTGATAATAGAAGATCTGCCAAGAAAGGTGAATTGTTGTAAGAACCTGGATGGTCTAGCAATTAAAGCACTTTCTATACACTTTTGTCATAGTGAATTCCTTAAAATGAAATCGTGGTCAGACTTATTATGATAATGTGTTTGAAATATAGTTTATTTTAGTCTGTACTGCAGAATATCCTATCGAAACCAAAATGACAGCAACATTGAGAATTCACTGTCAACAGCTTTATAGTCATTTATTTCCAGTAAATGGCAGTTTCTTATTTTCCCCTGATGGGTCAGCACAGCCAGGTTATAACAATGCAGCTGTGAAAGTGTTAAAAATAATACTTATGAAAAATGAACAAAAATTAATGATTAATAATTAAGTGAGAGCAGAGAAGGGGGGGGGACTTCTTTATTTGAAAATAAAATATCTCCAGATTCAGATACAAATCTGGACTCTGTTATTTTTCAGAATTTTAACAAGATGTATAATCAAAGAACTGAAAGTCAGAACTTCAGTGATACAATTGGAGGACTTTTTTTTTCTTTTTTTTTTTATAATAAAAATAGATTAACTTTTAGAACGTAAGAAATCTAAAATTAGATGATATTAAATTGGGAGGATTCTACTTTAAAGTACTGGTATCACTTATAAAAAAATATGTCATTGCTAAAAAAATATCTTTCAAAACTTGTTTCACTTTGAGACTATTATAATGATAGATACATTATTAAATTGGTGTAGCATATAACTCAAATTTCAATCCATTTGTTCTAATATAACAAAAGTTATTTCTGAAAAATACCTTAAGCATAACTTAATAATCATTTTAAAAGGTGAATTAAGAATAAAATCTTAGTTACATAAGCTCTAATGAATGAAATCTAGATCTAAAATGATTTCAGATCAGCTTAGATTAAGTTTTGGAGACCAGGGTTTTGTTTTTTGCATGATTTTAAAATTGTCTTCTGTTGCTGAAACTATGATGTAACCAGGAGGAGGAAAATAGCAGTGTTTGTCATGGTGATTATTTTGGAAAAAAGAGATGATTATTATTATTATTATTATTACTACTACTACTACTACTAAATTTGCATAGAATGGTTTCAAACACCACAAATAATTTTAAGTTACTCTGTCAAGTTTTAAGATTTCAGACAGCGGGATCTTTCCATAGGATATTTGCTGCACCTAAGACTTTTATTTTGATTTATTTTTTTTTTGCCATGTTGTTATACTAAGTACAATTCTGATGGTATCAAGTTGTCTTGGGATAATTGGAATTGACCCAAAGGCTCCAATGACAATTGGTGCAACAGTAGCATAATCATTCCACATCCTATCGGCATCTACTCTCAAATCTGAGTGTCTTATGGCCATATCACATTGAAACACTAGTTTCTGTACGATCACTGAAATTAAGCAATGTCGAGCTTGGTCAGTACCTAGGTGGGTGACTGCTTGGGAATACCAGATGCTGTAATCTTGGATGTGTTGGTGTTGTAATGGATAATGTCTCGGAATTGTTAATTGGAAAGCTGATTTTCCAATTCCAGTTAGGTTTATTATATTCACTTACACACAAATATCCTTGGGAAAGGTATGAATCCACCTCTTTTCCCCCCTGCTATAGGTTAATTATTAAGACTTGTACCACTAAAACCATTATTATCTTAAAAGAAAAAAAAATTACATACAAAGTATTTAGATTTCTGCATTAAATAACCCATGGTGGTTGATATGCCGCTAAACAAAATAACCAACCAGCAATCAACTCTGAGAAGTTTACAATCTTTTCAACTTAACTGCTTAAGGGAAGTCATATGAGCAATAACAGAAGTACTAAGTAAGAATTATAAGATATCCTTAGACATGGTCAATAGAACATGAACAATACACCCATTGATTAAATAAAGGGCCGAGTTTGAAATTCCCTGAACGTTACCTGGATTGAAAATCACCTGATGAATGCTGGAGAGTATAATGGCCAAAACATTGTGATAATAAAACAACAAAAATGAGGACAATAGTTTGAGTGTAAATGATGCAAAAGTTCCCATAAAAAATACTTTTCAACTGTACATTTTAACATTTATTTATCCATTCTATAAAGTGCTTTTTAAATCTGAAAATAATTAAACAAAAAAAAAAATACTCCATCCAATTTAATTTTGGCATCAATGGTTGACTTATTTCGAAATTGGACTAAAGAATTTCATTATGTGTTGTCATTAACTTTGTAAAAATTTAGCATATTTATAAATTTCTGAAGCAATTTTGGTCAGTAGATTCCAATATTAGAAGCAGTAAATATATTCACAAGGACACTTAAAACACTCACCTGCTAAAACTTGTCAATATTATAGGAGCAGTAGGAAAGATTGTGATAGATAAAAAAAAGACCATTTGCATGTTGGAATAGTCTAGTTTCTTTATCAGCTGACTCTACTCTTCTTACAAGTATATTAAACTGAAGTCAATCTGTTTCTTTTCTTGCTCTGATTATGACCAAACCCTGTAGGCTTCTGGTGCAAAAGCACTTTCTTATTTTCCAACTGTGTTCTGTCTCATTCCCTACACCCTACCATATTTCTTTTTTCCATCACAGTGGCTGGTCGGTTGGTTTGTCGACTCTACAAATTCTATATATCCTGCATATTTATCTTTTAATTCAAATCCCAATTTCCTACCCATACCATCATTTTTCACTCAAAGGGAGGTGTGCCCCACCTAGACAGCACACCTCTTTCTGCCTAACAAGTGAACCAGCTTCAGGCCACTGAATCTCTCATGCTTTCACTGATCATTTCTTTCTTTTTCTTTCTCTTTCTGTTTTCAAGAAGTAATCAAGTACCCTTTACATACATCCACTGCTGTAGCTTTTCTCCTACCCCCCTATTTTTTTTTTTACCTTTCTTTTCACTGCTAAGACACACACACACACACACATATGCACACTTTATTCCTTGCTGCTTCGAATAAAGTCTGGCAAGATGAACATTACCTCTCTCCCTGTCTGTTTACATATCTAACTTCTGTGCTCTTTGTTTACTTTCTTCGACTTTGAAAGATCTCTTTTGTGTGTGTGTGTGTCTACCTACATACAGGGTTTGTCTACTCACATGTGAATATATATCTTCTTTGGGGTTGAGACGTTCAACAACAAAATCAGGTACTATTTGCATTGATCATTTTATTTCAGCTTGTGTTCTACTTCATTTTTATGCAATCATTACTTCACTTTGTTTAAAAGGAAAAGAAAAAATATATTCAGACTGAAATCATTTCAATTTCATGACTTCCTGCGAAAATTTCTCTTTACTTACTTTTTTAAAATGTCTTTGTTTTTAACTTTGGAACTTGTGTCTGAAATATGTTCATAAAAATATCAGTGTGTCCATAATTCAATCTTTATTTAGTAAGTTTCTCTTTCTTTTCAAAGTTTTAAAAACATTCAGACTTGTTTATTTACCTCCTATTCTCTAGATCTCATTAAAAAAATATATTGCTTTTTTTTTTCTTTTCTTTTTATATATATATATATATATATATATATATATATGTGTGAAGTTGTAGAAATATGTTTAAAAATTAACAGAAAAAATGTCTTAGGTCCTGAGATGTTTACTTGAAAAACAACCTCTTAAATATTTCATTACTTATAAGGTTTGAAGACAAATGAGGTGACTAAAAAAGTAATTTTGTCCATTGTCTTGCTTTCACCACATTCTAAATTTAGAAACTTGTTTGCTATTCTCGTTAATTTTTTTTTATATTTTAAATTCTTGTCTCTAACATAAAGAACGATTTAAAAAAAAAAATAAATAAATAAATGAGTCATTATTACATAAGCCACCAATATGTGTATACCAAAATATGGTATTGTTTCTATATTTACAAATTAAATTCTACCTTCATCGAATCAGGCTTTAAATGTTTATACAAATATTCAGTTAAATGCTTTAATTTCTCAATGGTTTTGGGGATCCCTTTTTTAATTGGAAAAAAATAGAAAAGTAATGAGTTATTCTTTTTATGTCCTGATGAATTTAATAAGCTTTTTGTTACTTTTGCCAATTAATTTTTTTAAAGGTTGATTTTTCATAATGTTTTCCTCATGCTTTGTTTAGATATTTTTTTTATTTTTATAAAGATAATATTGTATTCAAAATGACATTTAAAACTCTCTAGAATTTACATAATGACGACATATAAGTCTTTGTAGCATATATTCACGTGATTACATATAAGACTCTCAAGCATAGACATGTGATGACACATAAGACTCTCGCATAGACATGTGATGACATATAAGACTCATATATACATGTGATGATGTATAAGACTCTCTTACATGGACATGTGATGACGTATAAGACTCTCTGGCAGAGACATGTGACGACGTATAAGACTCTCTGGCAGAGACATGTGACGACGTATAAGACTCTCTAGCAGAGACATGTGACGGTGTATAAGACTAAAATTAGATAAAATAAAAGTACAGGTAGTCTGAAGTGTCTGGTTAAGAAAATACCTCAATTTTATATGAAGGGTATAAATTGCAGGAATACCTCCCACATAATGGTAAGACATTAGTGGCAATGGTGTCTTCATCAAGCATGTCTTACCATTATGTGGGAGATATTTCTGCCATACCCCATATAAGACTTAGGTCTTGTGAATTTTCTTACAGTAATAATGTGACTAAAATACATTAAAAACTTCATATCTGTGGGTTTTTTTTTGTTTTTGTTTTTTTTAAGAGTATGGAATTGCTTATTAAAAAAAAATGAAGTCGAAAGTTAAGTAACATTTAACAAAAAAAGTACATAATTTAGTTAGTGTTTTGTCATAAATGTAACCTCAAGGACAATCTCACACTAAGCTTTTAAAATCAATGTGAGGGGGGAACACTTTTATTTTAGTGACTATTTAATTTTTATGATGAAATTAAATCAAACAGACCAATAAAGTTCATCATGCATATCATTAATGATTGGGTATTTTTATGTAGAAAGATTACATTTAGACATTAAGTTGGTCACTTGCTATAAAAATAAAATAAGGAAAGCTGTATTGAACATCAAAAAAAATATTAATTATTATTTAACCCTTCTTGATAGTTTTACATTCTCTTCATCTTTTAAGATATCTTGTCAGGTGGAGTGGGGCATTTTCATAATTGATAAATCAAATTAGCCATATACTGAATTATGTATAACTTTTGAGAAGTCATTAACTAAGCTAACACTGAAATCTCTTCATAATTTTTGTTGTTATCATTATAATGTTTTGGTTGATTCACTCTCCAGCCCTCTTCAGGTATGAATCAGGAGGAGAAAAAAAAAACAACAAACAAATAATATATTCACCTGACTTAGTCTAATTTTGCAGGAATAGTTATTACAAGTGCATACTTTGATTCCAATGACATGCACATACATATGCAAAAAATATATATATATATATACAGAGTGCGATAGATAAAGTGCCGTCTAAATTATGCAAAAGTTAAAATAACACTGACATCTCATTTTAACAGTTATATTGACCAAAATTTATTCAATAAACTCGCCATTGGCTTCAACCATTAACTCCAGATGACTTAGGAATCTCTTGCATCTCTTTTGGGCGGTCTCCTTGTTTAAGTTGGTGAATGCTGCCATAATCCTTGACTTCAGTCCATCTTTGGTGTTACAAGGTTTTGTTGGTTTCTTGTTCAACTGTGCCCCATACATAATAATCAAAGAGGTTGCAGACTGGAGAGTTAGGTGGCCACATGTAAGGAGTGATATGGTTGGAGAAATTGTCTGACAGCTATCACTGGATTCTCCTCGTGTGGCATAGGGCAGAGTCTTGTTGTCAGACATAGGGTCTTCCAGCAGTCACCTTTTTAACCTAGTGCAACAATACCTTGTCAAGGCACTAAATGTATGCCTCCATTTTGAGCATGTGGTCTTTACCAACAAATTTGGGAGTTCTTATCAGAATGATCAGAGTGAATTTTCTAAGCTGCCCTACTTTCATAATCACCATTAGACTCATCCAACTCTTTCTGAATCCTCTGCACTGCCCTTAGAGTGACACTCTAAAATGTTTGTATTGGACCTTCTGGTGCGAATGCCAAGCAGTACAGCATGCCATTTCTAAATTTCTGGCAGAATGAATTGCATCATGGTGTTCCTTTTCTCATCAATGGTTCCCAACTGACCCTACTATACTGTGCAGTTGGCAAAATAAAAAAATCAAACATGTATGCGCAAAAATAAAAATATAAAATGGCGACAATTTACCTATCTCAGTCTGTATCATGGTTAGTTTGGCTCATTCCTTGCAATGTGAGCCATATAGCAAATAAGACTTTCTCTTTCTTGACTGACTGTATATCTTAAAGAAGACCGTAGAATGGGTCAACTAATGTGGATACATAAGTAACATGAAAAATGAATTGAATAATTTAAAATGTATTTGGATAATAATGACT